AAACGTTAATGTTAAAAGAACACAGTTGTGTGAAGAAGGGATTCAATATCATTGATGCAAAGTAAAGCATCGACTCAATGCAAATCAAAATCTGTAAGATATGCTTTTAGTGCTTGAACATGAGAAATGTGGCACTATAGTAAACATTAAAGTATTATTTATTAGAAACAATAGATTGTATGACTGATAGAAATCAAATTGAAATAGTTGCCAGGTAGACTTTGTGAACATTGGGACGTTTTCCATGTAATCGTATTGTGATGAAACTTGTGATTTAAACCCATCGTGAGTACACAAGGAGACTTACAGAGAGGGAGAGTGATGATGTTTTAAAATCCACTCACTCCTTGGTAACTTGGCTTTTTCCATGTGGCAGGCTGGATTTTATGGGCTTTATAAATAGACTGGGCTGTAATGATAGGGTATAAGTGAGGAAAAATGCAGAGCGACTGTTTAGGGATGGCGTTTGTTTGGTGCGTTCCTTAATCTCCACTCGGCAATCATCGCAGGATTCAAGTCGGGATGATTGGCGTCGAAGCTTGATTTGAATGATTATGATTATACCAAATCTGCCTGTTGAAATTCTGATTATAGGCGACGTTATAAGCTAAAAGTTTTAACCAAGATATACATTTCTTCAGGGGTTTTCCACAGCGAAGTGAAAACTGATCCGTCGACGTCATGGAAGAGCGATTCAATCCACTCTCATGAAGCTTAAACACTGACTTTAATATGGCATTTAAGTTCAAATACACATGTAAAAGTGCTCTCTATAGTTGTGTTTAGATTACACACTTTCATCTATATTCAATTTAGAGATTGTAACGAGAGAAATGCAAACAGTAAAGCAGATTTACTAGCCGTACTACATGTAGCCCAACAGCACTGATTTCCAGGATTATAGCTTGTTCGCTTTTTTACTGAATTATTCAGCTGTTTATGTTGGAATATTTATACTTCTCAGAGAAAAAACAGTATGAGTTACTGCTTTCCGTTATCTATTTCTCTCCTGTGGTTGGAGATCTGTCTCAGAGAGAGCCTGCAACTCGTCAGCAACCAAACAGAAACATTTCAGCTCCAAAAACACACAAATAGTTAAACTGTCGACAATAGTTTTTAATATACTTTGCATGACTCCACAGTTTGATTCTCTTGGTAAATCCTCTTTGAAATGTTCCACGCATCAATATCCCCACTGACCAATAACACATGCAACCTTTTTCTAAACAATACCCAATCACATCTGTCTTTAAAGACCCTTGTTCTGCAAGTAAAGAGGCAGAATATTTCCCGGAATCACTAGGGTCAGATTTGTTGGTCAGTTATTTAAACATTGGCTGAAAAAAATGTGACTTACTCCGAACGTCTACGATCATTCGCATGATAAAGAAACCTGCGTATAGTAAGAAGAAACGAGGGTATATCGTAAACAGGTATACAAATATCGAAAAAGCCTATTACAGAACACTTTGGCTATACAACTATTCTAAGAGAGTTGAAGTGGGTCACCATCCACCCTCAGTTCTTCTTAGTTCTCCAATTTCTCTATGTATATGCATTATGGTTGGGCCATACATGGATATTATTTGATATTCATTTCATTATGAGGCTACATTGTGATAGTGACTTGCGTACCATGCTGCGAATGGATCTGGCCCTTCCTACATCCAGGACATGGTTAAACCGTACACCCCAGCGCGTGCACTACGCTCTGCATCAGCCAAACGACTCGTTGCGCCCTCGCTGCGAAGGGGACCCAAGTTCCCATCAGCGAAAACACGTGGGTTTGCTGTCCTGGCTCCAGGATGGTGGAATGAGCTCCCCATTGACATCAGGACGGCAGATAGCTTGCACATCTTCCGGCGCAAACTGAAAACTCATCTCTTTCGACTCCACTTCGAGCGTTAGAACTATTAACAAAGCACTTTTATACTAATAAAGGACTGGCTTATCTAAAGCCAGTTGAGTAGCACTTGAAATGTTTGGCTCTATGAAACCTGATGTACTTTATGATTCTGTTTTCTTCAAGGTTGTGTCTTCCTGGTCGAATGTACTTATGTAAGTCGCTTTGGACAAAAGCGTCAGCTAAATGCAATGTAATGATAGATTTGTGATATTGTAATATCTAAAGTGTCTTTTCCTGGTTTTTAAAGACTGTATTGTCTTAGCATTATGAGTAGAGTGTAATGTACAGTGATGTTCTGTATTTACCAGCTATCTGTTCTATTGTTTGCCTTTATCCACATAACTGGTGATTATAATCCAAAATGTCATTGTTGTGTATCTATTCCAAGTTGTTCGATTTCTTTCCATTCGCCCAACCCTAATATCCACACCTACAAAAGACACTACTTATATAACCTCATCTCATCTCGAGCATTTTTAATGATCGCCTCACCCCAATCCTTACCTCTTATCACGTTTAATCATAGCTGTCTCTGTACATTTAATTTAAAAACCATTCATCTTTTGATTCTGGCAACACAAGCAAAAACAACAAAGAAAGATGATGAACACATGAACATGAGCCAACTACTCTGAGGTGATTTCTGCTTGCCTCCAGTTTTCCCCTTTTTTGCCACCAGCTGATGTAATGATGACCTTGAGACTAAAGGTCCCACCAAGACGATTTTCGGCGTCGATAGATGTCGGGCCGTCGATGAGCGTTGTGTCGCCCTACTCAGATTGGTGTGTCTTGGTGTCCCCCGCACCGTCGTGTCTTTTCGGCCGTGCCGACACCTTCCGCCGCCGATTCGACATGTTGAATCTGAACGAGTAATCGATTTTAAATCGAAATCGCGATTCGAAATGATGCGATTATCAAATCGCAAAGTCTGCGATTGTTTTTAACATAATCTTTTTTTTCTTGTGTGTCAGTCATCCACACCAATCAGAAGTGCTGTGCTCCACATGTACCAGCCATTGTTAATCAATCAGAAGTGGCCCATGATAGAAGGTGATAGACAGATTGATCCAATCACCTGCCAAGTATTTTTGAAAGTGCCTGCCCTTTCCAAATGGCTTCCTATGGAGCTTTCCTAGATGGTTTCTGGGTCAGGTTAGTAATGCTCCATCACATGTTTCTATTACAGGGTGAGTCTTAAACTGAAGCTTGACTTTAAAGCAACCCAACGGAAGTTTCATGTAAGTTTAGTTCTTTCACTCGTAGCTCGGGCTGCGGGGGTGCTAGAGACGGGAGTACGTTGATGCGACCTTCCTAGCCGGAGTTATGGCCGCATTTTACAATAAACTTCCGCTGGGTCGCTAAAAAATAAATATCGCAAATCGCAATCGCAATATTTGTCAGAAAAATCGCAATTCGATTTTTTCCCAAAATCGTGCAGCCCTAATCGGGAGGCTGTCGGCTAAAGAAATCACTCTGATTGGCTGTTCAGCTAGCGAATCAGTGCATGAGAAGCGAAATGGAAGTGAGGGACCCAAAGAAACTATTAAGAAGGCAAATCTGAGATTTCATTTAACTCCAGCTCTCGACACAGGTTCGGGAAAGCCCCATGAGCTTCTCGCTGTAAAGTGAAAATGGAACGCACATGCTATTTGTTTGTTTATCACGCAGTCTGTTCTTCTTCTCTCGGTTATCACACAGTCTGTCTTCTTCCGGTTGTTGCCTCTTTTGAATGACGAATACACACTACCGCCGCCTGCTGGTAAGGAGAGTTATTGTCATGCATGCGCAGTTCGTACGTGCTACTTGGCCGTCGGCTGAAGTCTTTGCGGTGTGTTCCAGTGCGAAACATGGCCAAGACGCAGAGACGCGAGGCGACGTTCTGTCGGGACGTGGTCTTTGGTGTCAGTTTGGTGTGTAAGGACCTTAAGAAAGCTCTCAGAAGTGTGACCTATTGAAGCCTTTCTGCCCCTCAGCTGCAGAGCTCTCCCTCAGGAAGGGCAACTGCTGTGACGGACTGGTTGATGGCTGTGGTGAGAGCTGTAACCTCCCCCCCATCCTCTCAGCGGTCACTGATCCTGTCCCTTGGCTCTGGATTATGGAGAGAGGCACACCCTGAGGCTCTAATTTACTGTTACTCTGCACCAGAGTCCATCTGTCAAAACTGCATCATTAGGTAGCGCCAGGCAGATGCAGTGTCTTGAGTTTGTCATGAATATTAACCAAAATGTTGCCCTGAGACACCTGTCAGTTATTCCTGTAGTCTGAGGAAAGAAACTAGCCAAGAAAATCATCAGAAACGAGCCGTTAAAGCTTTTAGCTGGCAGTTTTTAGGCTAAATTGGACTTGTTTTCTAATTTAAAACGTTGCCTTCAACAAGCACCTTTACACAACTGTGACGAACCCACTAGGGATGAGGAAGGCAACACACACCAGAATGGAATTGGAAATAATTATAATAGGGTTTAATGGAATAACAAACAGGTGTACAACCAAATGAGGGCAAATATAGCCTAAGCCAAACTAAAGAGCCAAAAGGACACAGGTAAACAGAAGGAGGACTCTACAAGTGAGCCTAATTCCACACCTGAAATCACTACTAATTACTACTAATCACAACTAAAGGAAGGAGGCCGCAGGGAAATGCAGCTAACACAGGGGAACCAAAACACGCTACACACATATATCACCACGCTACTCTAAGTACATATATCAACACGCTAACACACAGCACTAAACACGGCTCACACGAGTTCTAAAGTCTAACGTGTGCACGACACAGGAGCAAAATGAGTGAGGCGTCTGATCGCAGCAGAGCCTCCCGAGTGATAGGTGTCCCCAGGCTTTGTAGTCATATCCGGATGGCAGCCAATGACGTTGGGGCAACTACACAGCTCATTTACATACATATACAGCAACACAGAATTACCAGGACCGGAGAGGCGACAGCCGTCACAAGTTCACAACAACCATTATCTACCTAATCTTACCAGTGTTATCTTTCACTTAAAACCACAGAAAACACATCTGCCATGCGTAAGTTCTGCAGAACATGAACATCTTCCTGCATGACGCAGATACATATGCACAATGCATGATGGTTATCTCTGACGAGGGCATCTACTCAGAATCAGATGTCAAAGCTGTTGACGAGTTTCTGACCTTGGGGGTGAGATTTTCCCAGTGGGTTGTTTATTTTTCCGATCAGTCTGACATCAGCTGAATGAATCACAGAGGCCCTATCTCAAAATGTTACCGAAAGTGGAACAAAATGTTTGTTTCACCTAATCTAAACTGTTATCATCAATTCAATCTATTCTTTCTTTGATGGCTCATGGTACACACTTCCACCTGAACATCATGTCAGTATTTTTACGGTAATCCTGTTGACAGACCAATGAAGAAAATACCGTCGTTGGTGAAGGTAATAAATTGCATTCACAAAACAGAACGTGTATTTTACTCCCCTTTTTCTCCATACTGCATTGATTACAGTTTGATCACGTAACCACAACCTGTTCATAATTCAATGTAGGTAATTATGTGACAAAGCTTGATGTTCTTTGGCAAACAGCACAAAACATAATTAATGTGAACTCACACATTTTTGTTCACGTCAGACTTAGACTTCCCGTCCGAGCATATGAATACAAGGCACATTTGGGGCATTTGTAGCCTTTTTGTGTCAGCATTTAAGACAGCATTGTGCCCTCAGCTTGGTAACAGCAGGCATGTCTTAGCTCTGGATGCCTGAGGAGCTGTGAGAGTGACAAGAGAAGTGAAAAAAAGCAAAGCCCCAGCAGACAAGGGAGGCACAGATGGGGAAAGAGATGGAAAGAACGAGACAAGCTGAGGGTGGAGGGAGATGGAGCGGGAGACCTTGGCTGTGTCTCTGGCTCTGTTCCGTTTGTTTTTGCTCTATTTTTACTCTGCAGTCTGGACTGTGGTCCCTGGTGAATAACTCCATATGTAAGTTACATTTCATCTGACAGAAATCATTCACACAGGGCGGCCCATGTGGGAGTGTTAGGAGACGTGATGTGATCCGTGCAGATTAGAAGAAAAAGGACAGAAGGAGAAAATCTTTGGAAAATAGCTTGGACTGGGTTTGTCTTTCTGCTGTACAATGAGTTTGTGGGACGTTGCACAGCATCAGTTTTGTTACTGTCCAGTCCACTTCTGTGAAAACAAAACAGATGGCCAACAGGTCTAGAAGTTACATTATCCTTTTCTAAGATGCTCATCATCCACACACCTTAGCCACACAAACACCATCAGGACGAAACCACAGGGAAGATTGATCCAACAGATTATACATCCTGCACCACATGTAATACATTTTATATTACAACGTCTGAGATTGTGCTTTTACCACCATTTGTTACTCCCATTCATTACACATTCATTCATTATAAGCTCTTTTTGCTAGCCCTCCTGCTGCTTTCTGCCCCACTTTTGGAGTTCCAACTGAGGTCAAGGCATGCATCAAATATAGGATGAGTAATAATACTGACATACCGGCGCTTCTCAGTTGGTAGATTGGGATTCTGGCACAGCTTTCAGCAAACCCCACTGTTTAGTCTGCGTACTTCTGTACTTACATGTGAATATTTGAGTGTATAAGTGCAACCTAGACTAAGTATGGCAAAAAGCAGTGGTGTACTATGAGTAGCCAGATGGTGCTTTCAGGGTCAAAAAGCTAGTTTGGAACATTGGGACACTTCTCACAATCAACATTCGCCAAGGTATATGTGTCTTATTATTAATAACATACCACTATCTACGTCTAAAGGAAGCCACCATTTATTTTTTCGGGTTTAATCGGGGGGTCTTTAATGACTTGCTTGCTAGAATGATAACGTTACTAGCTACTGGCTAGCTACCTAGCTGAGTAGCTGACAGCTGCTATCGTCACTTCTGCGGAGTGCACAGCAGCCGTATACAATTACACACAAGTTTTACAGTGTACAACATGCAGTGTACTAACACAAGCATTCAAATTGGTACACCGTTTAAAACATGGTGCCACAGCAGAGGAAGCAGAGGCCTTAGTTTGTAGCTTTCTGTGACGTTTGCTTTCAGACACAAGCTGTTTGGCACCGCACAATGCTGTCTGAACTTTTTTTTCCTTAAGGAATAAAGAAAAGTGTGTGTAGCGGGCGGCAGGGCTAAGGGACTTTAAAGTGTGTATGAACTCGGTGCAGCTCAGGGACTATTCTGGTCTACAAAGGAGTCATGTGTTTAGGAAATGTTTTTAGAGCAGGGTAGCCCACATGAGTGAGCGTGTACAATAATCCCCTCTGTCTGCCGCCTTCCCTCACTTCCTTTCCTCCTCTTCCTGGTTTCTGACTGCAGCTGCCCCACATCTCCAGACACGCTGTGTGGTTGTGTTTGTCCTGCTGATTGAAAGGAAGTGTTTCCGTAACTGTAGAGGAGCATCTGAATTAGATTAACACTTTGTGCTAATATTAGTAACGATTTAACAGGCTTAATTCAGGCTGGGCTGTAAAAAAACAAACAATAATTTTCATTAAGAATGAATCTGAGGATTATATTTTTGAACAATCGACAAACAAGTCCCTCTATAAAATGTTAGGAAATTGTACAACATGGGCGTTATAATATCCCAAAGCAGAAGAACATATATTCAAATTAGGTATTTGTCTGACTGAGAACACCAACAAATCAAAATATATGTATTTACTATCATAAAACACAAAGGATACGAGAAAAATTCCTATTTCCGTGAGATTTAAACATAAACCATGAAATTAAATCGAGAGTTTTGCAAATATGAAGAGTTTTAGATTGATTAAAGTAATATATATGCTAGTGTGCTTATGTTGTTTCATCCCCCCCTTTATGCAATAAGACATTAGAACATGCCAGCATCCAATGTGTCTTAATTCCGCTTTATTTGTCCACCGCTAGTTTATTTATTAGTCTAACATGGTGACTGCTCAGGAAACTCTCCTGAATCTCCTGTCACCACCAACCAGCGAGGAATCCCAAAACAGCCAAGGAGGCTCCGCAGGGCCTTCTGGGTCACATTAAGTCAGACATGCTCTGGCCTCGCTGCTCTGGTGTGTTTCATGTGGACGCTGCTGCTTTGGGTCTCAAGTTTCAGCTCATCACGCTGATTGAAAACATATATTTCTGTGCACCATCTTGGTTATGCATCATCTCAAACTTAGTATTAACTCGTGGATGAAAGAACCTTGTGACTGAGTCTGTGCAAGGCTGTGGTGGAATGTAATGAAGTACATCTACTCAATGATTGTACAATTTTTGAGGGTACTTGAGTATTTTCACTTCTGTACTGCATCTTGGAAGGCAGTACTTTTTATTCCACTACGTCACTAGTTACTTTGTATGTTATTAGCTAATACAAAATATCAACTTAAAAATAAACATCTTATCGATTAACCAATCCAGCAGCAGTATACAAAGTATTTAAAATCAGCTCCCCCATTACCAGCTGTTATAGACACCCATATGCATCAGTAATCATTATCCAGTGATATAACATATATATAATTCCATTAGTAATATCGGAATATGGGACTGGGATATTACTCGGGGAGTATTTGCATGTGTATTTGCATGTGAGCTTCACCTAGCGCTGTCGCAGAACTCAGCTTCATGTTGTTTTGATCGGTTGGATGAAAGCACTTTAATAACTTTCCAAATCTGTTTTATCGACCTTTTGCTCAGTGGGCCCTTAGGTATGATTGACCGAACAACAGAACAGTAAAGGAGCCATTACGTGTTAACCATAAACACCAGGACAGGAGTTTTTTATAGTAAGACCAGTTTCCTCAACATGAACTTTTCCAATTCCTCTACTCAGTGTGGTTTAGCATCTGGATTGAGTTAAAGAGTCAAATGTCAGACACGGAGGGGGGTGACCAGCAGGCGGTCGGAGGCATTGGGGGGAGATTTCTGTTAAAGACAGTGGTATGACAGGGGGTAAAGTTAAGGAAGCAGTGGAAACCCAGCAGTCTAGCAAAGGCAGACAGCTGTACCGGGACCCTGCTGGATTACTGACCCGCTGTGAAACCACATAAAGTGGGAGTTCATAAAGCTGCGGCTAACACTAATGTTAGGTGGCCTGAAGCAACACAAGAACCGGCTGACTCCGCGGAGGAGAGAACACGGCAGTGATTTGTTGTGTTGTTTTGAAGTGAAAGTCCGGTGTGTTTACAGCTGGATGATCGGAGCGGGATTCGGGGGTCATTCTTACCTCGGAGCGATGTCAAATGAAACAGCAGCCCGCTTCATTCAGTCGATTGCGTGGACTCAGACGCGTGGTATTGGGAGAGGCGGATCAATGGAGTGCACTTAGATGTTTTAATTGATTAGCTATACGTCCATGGAAGCTTCGCTGATTTAGTCTGACAGACAGCTGGCAAGGTTGAGCTGAAATCCAGGACATATAGCAATAATAACATGATATAATCCGCACATTTGTTCACATGCTACCTCTCTTAATATCTGCACAGCTTTCAAATACTGCACATATTTTAATTTCCTCATGTGTAAAACCTACTAGGCACTAAACCTGATTCTGATTTTGATGTCAAACAGGTTTTTAGCTCTCTTAAAAAGACTTGCACTATGCAGAGACAACATCTGTGGTTTGCTATACTCCTCTTCCAGTAGCTTAACTGTGGAAGAGAGGAGGATTTTGACCGTGAGCTTGGGGCTCCATATTGAATGAAAAGGGTAATATCAACAAGTCAAAGAGTGCATCCCTGCGGCTCCTTTATCCTGGTCGTTAGACGGAGGCAGCAGATGCTCCTCAGCTCTGGTTTTATTGTCCGTGGCTGGACTTAAAACAGGGGGGGAGGAGATGAGCTTTTAGTGCCCTTTTTTCCTCCCTTTCCTTCACTCTCTCTTCATAGTTCCCTCTATCTGCGTCTGTCTTTCTGAGCCCAGTTGGTGTCTGCTGGATGAGTTCATTCCCTGATTGAGCTTTCGGTCTTTTTTTTTTTTTTTAAACAAAAGGCTGCATCTTTGAATAGGCCACATGGCTCCAGTGGGAGGGCTCTGATCCATTCACAGCCATTTTGGGTGCATCTGTACTTCCTATAGAGTCTCTCTCTCTCTCTCTCTCTCTCTCTCTCTCTATCTCTATCTCTATCTCTATCTCTATCTCTATCTCTATCT